AGGTCAATGACCCAAGGTCGGGAAAATCGAGACCTGTTAGAAAGTCGTAAAGTGTGGCTGCTAAGGGGTTTTTCGGGACGCTGATCATGAATATCGTGTTAGTTTTGATCACAGATGGTATCTTTAAAGGGAGATAATGAGCTTTCTTTTTTCTTAAATAAAAATTACTCGACATCTATACTATTTCTACTGTAGTTTCTATAAAATATGAAGATTTCCTAGCACATTTTCGTATGTGAAAAAGGTTTTTATTTTTGCAAAAAAGAAGCAGTACTTGCAGTACCTACTTGTAACACCCACCGAAATGCGTTGTCCTTCTCTATAAAAAAGTCGCAGTATATGGCGCTTTTGTTTCAAACAGCGACACTTGGGTTTTTGTTTATGTTATCGCCTTGTCGTTGCTTGGTTGTAAGGATTCTAATTTGAATTAGAGTTAATTCGGTTTAGAATTAATTAGATTCTAATTCGGGGGTACATAGTGCCTACTCTTCTTTGTTTCCAAGTATTATTTTGCGCCACAAATGAACGGCATGCGCCAGAAACGCAGCCAAATCTTGCGATTGCGACTACGAAATTCATTATTTTGGCGTCAGAGCCTGAAGCTAAAAATACAAGCATATTTATTTCAAAAAGACTTCAGGTTTGTCGAACGGTGTTATGATAATTTTGATAACAGTACTGCATAAGTTTTTCAGTGATGCCGCAAGAGTGTTGTATCTATCTTCTTTTATTGTGCAGTCGGCGGGACCGATTCAAAATTGAGTCGTTGCTACTAAAATAGCAGCATATGGCGTCAGATGATGAACAGGAAAAATAGTTGCGTAAATTTAGACATAAACCACCCCCAAACCATGAATATCTTTTGAAGGCACTATAGACGACCATTAACTAACTAGATGTGATGAAGATCAAATGTAAGGAATACGCTCATTTTACAAAATTACATGCAAGTACCAAAAAGTGATGTAAGTACTTATTCAACGGTCATTTTCAGCGCTCCCCGCTAACGTGACTTCAAGTTGAGATATTTGCGGCAAGGTACCGAATTGAGCAAAATGGTTTTAATTTACATTATAACTTGTTGTGTTTTGTCAGAAAATGGTCCTAACTCAGATTTTGTGGAAAAAGGTCATTATCTCCCTTTAAGCATTTAGACCAGGTCGGGTCAGGTCAGGTCAGGTAAACCAGTAGGCGTCGTGACGGGTATTCGTAGTACGTGTCAACCGCCTCTGACAGCTTCGTAACATGCTACGAGGGCACCAAAACCACTTCGTAAATGTTCAAATAGTTCCTAAATTCGAATTCAGCTCCAAAAACTAGCCTAGAAACATGTACAGCTCGAAAAAAAATGAACCGAGGTCACCAAAGGTCAATGACCTGACCTGGCCTTCAGGTGACCTTGACACCCACCCTAATGCATGGGAGCAACATCAAATCACATGTTTGAACGTTTGAAACCACGAAAAGCTTGCAAACGCGCGGCTAATGCGAGCCGACATACTCGTACGCGGAATCGCGATTCCGGCCAAACATAGTCTAGGAAAAGAGGTCACAGGTCAAAGGTCATTTGGGTCAGGATCATGAAATTTTCAGGGTAGGTGTAAAATTGACCAATGCGAGGGTACTGAAAGTTTCGTCGCGATCAGCCGTTTTTTACGTGAGTTATTCGTGAAAAATCATGGGGGGTCCATCCGACCCCCCCCCCCTACACATGCGAGGGCTAAGCGACATTCGAAAGCGCGTAAAAAATCATGAAGCAAGTACATCGGTAATTTCTTAGGTCAGGTTCATAAAAGATCAAATTTTGCCTTTTTTTACTTTTTGTTTTTGAAAGCGGCGCGCATAGATCGGGAACGAATAAAGCTACTTAGAGGCGCTAGAGCGTTGAGAAAAGCGCATTTGATAGCTTTTTACGTTCTGTTTTTAATGAGCTGCCAGATTTCAGCCGTTGAGTATATATGTTAGAGTGAGTTTGCGAAATCGGTGGATCCGCGGAGTCCCTAGGGAATCCACGGAGTCCCTAGTGGCTCCGCGGATGAACATCAAGTCTAGTATATTTGCGGATAAACGGGCGGGGATCCGCGGATGAACAAGACTCTTCAGGATAACCACGAACTCCCTGAAGAGTTGACGAGATCCGCGAACCACCCGGGGAATCCGCGGAGTAACGATTCATTCTAGTGAGTTTGCGAAGTTCCTATGCGTTTCGTGCAGCTATCTTATGACAAGAATGCAAGGCATATTGGATAGATCGTCTGCGACTTAACCCTCTCCCGTATTGGTGTTTTCCCAGTTGCTGTTGGAATTCACCGAGTAGGTACCGATTCATTCTAGTGAGTTCGTGAATTATTCTTTCATCTCGCTTAGACGTCGCTCGCAAATATTAATATGCAATTAAATAATGGACGGTAAGCCATGTTTGGCGTGGTTGAACTTCTGCGACCAGTCTGCTTACTTTTCTCCCAACCATTAATGGAAAGCTGGAAAGGCTACCGCGCATCTGAGCGATCATGTGAATGTATGCAAGTATGTATGCATAACAGTAATGCTCACTCTTCTCCAGGGACGGAGCTTCCCGTACAGTTGGTGGGGCAGTTGCCCCCCCCCCCCAACTTGCCCTTTTGCCACAGCCGACCTGACTCGACCGGTCAGCACCGCGCCTACAGACGCTCCAGTCCGGCGCCACAGTATGTATTCTGGGGAACATTTGGACTGGAGGGGCAATGGCAATGCTGAACTTCGATACAAGAACCCAACACGTACATATCAACCCGCCTTTGAATATAGTTATTTGACCCAAGTTGACGGTAATTGGCCGAAGCCATTGCGTACTTGCAAAAAAAAACTAATGAAAACTTAATCACGCATTGGCATTAATTGAGGTTGTTGGCTGTTGCGTCTCAAAGGCGATTAAAAAGACAGGATGTCCCCTATGCTATTTGGAATCGACCTGGAATGTCAACCAAATACCAATGGCCTGGGGCCGTATGGTTTGGGTATTATTGGCTTCTTCTATGTAACCACGGAAAGCAAGCTATTTTTTTTCCGCGAAAGGTTTAGCTCGATCAGGGGCCGCACGGCAAGGGTTCCAACGGAACCCTCCCCCGCGGACCCCTCCCCCCGCACACGGTAGCGTCCGAGAAAACAATAATACGGGCGAGGGTTAGCCCTCGCCCCGTTGGGGGAGGTAATTTGCCCCCCCCCCCCCTATGGTTTATCCTGAATGCCAAATTTTTAGTTCCTTCCCGGGCATCAATTTGACATCTTCACACAAAATTTCAAGTCTTACGTCACCTTAGGTCAGGAGTTATTGAGGTCAAACTGAGGTCATGTTCGAGCAAAAATGACCAAAAAACATGAAATCTTGAAACCATCACATAAGCTACGGTTACCAAGCAATTTCAAAGTTCTTTATGTGGTTGTGTAGAAATAAAACGGCGCTAAAACTGTTATCTCGGATTTTTAAAATTGTGGGATTTTAACCCCCCCCCCCCTAAAAAAACTTAGTCTATTTTAGAAAAACGCAAAATTATCCCAAAATTTTTCGCATTACGAAAAAAAACGGAATATTTATGATAGTCCGTGCGCTCTTCTATCTCCATACCAAATTTTAGATCGATATCTCCTTTTTTGGCCAAGCTATAGCGAAAAAAAAACTGTTCAAAATTGATGACGTCAAATTTTTGAACTCAATTTTTAGCAATTCTAGACCACGTAGCGCAAAACAAAGACCACCATTAGGCTCCCCGTGACGAGCTGCATCGAATCGATTACCATTTAAAAAAAATCAGCTTAAATTTGACCTAATTTGACCTGACCTTGACCTGAACTTCACCAGAACATAACCTTAACTGGCCCCAAAGGCTGCCTGACCCACATAATCGCATTTGTCATGTAAAATGGACCATAAAACATGCATCATATGATATTTTCATATTCTGACCCTCAGTGACCTGACCTGGCATCAGTGACCTCAACTAGCAAAATATGTGTTTAACGAACAATTCCCATCGATGATTTTCAATGACATGCATTTTACTCGATTTTACAACACATTTCTTGAAATGCCTGTAAACGGTGAAAATTCGACATTTGACCTGACCTCACTCGCTTTGACCTAGGTCAATGAAATTGGGTCACAAGGTAGTTCTCCGCCGTGGCTACCCAACACTGTTTGCGGCGTGTTGCTATGTTGCGTGGTTCTCGAGATCTTAGGGGGAGGGGGCCAAAATGCCCCCCCCCCCACAACAGGGCGCGTTGCTCCGGCAGACCCCAACGGGGCGCGGGTTAAGTCGCAGATGATCTACCCAATGCATTCTAGTCTAGGTAGCTGCACGAAACGCATAGGAACTTCGCAAACTCACTAGAATGAATCGTTACTCCGCGGATTCCCCGGGTGGTTCGCGGATCTCGTCAACTCTTCAGCACTGAAAGAAAAACTACACCTGAAACTGGAATATTATTACGGTACACAAATCTCCACCCCTTTTAACTTCATTTTATGCCAGAGTAAAAGATGTTTGCATGGACAATTGGAGATTAATTCTGCCACCCGGTAGTAAGTAATATATCCTCGTAAGCTTAGAACTACACCCGTTGCGGAATAAAAGTACGGTACATAAATCTCCACCCCAAATCAATTCATTTTACACCCCTAGGTAAAGGGTGTAAAGGGGCGTTAAGAAGAATTAAGCATGTAATTTACGATAATAATTTTACGCCACAGTGCAATTTAAGCCAAAACAATTTCTACGCCTTGCGACATGGTGTAGAAATACCAGCGGGGTGCGAAGCTGAAGGTGTACAATTTAAGTCAATATGTAAAAATAGCTCACGTTATAATCCGCATACAAAACAAAAGTAAACGATAATAATTGTATGTTCTTTTCCAGATGGAGTAAAAATATGACTGGGTAAATATACATCGCTAGCCATAACTATCCCCCAGCGTAATTGTATCTACTGTCGTCTTCTGAGCACTTTCGATAAAGTCAACTATGTTGCATCTCTCCAACGTGTTGTTTATTTAAAATAACTTGAAACGACAGATCACAGGTTGCTACAGATTGGTTCCTCCCAACACTGACTTCCCTGAGGAGATCACAAGCTGCACAAATCACATTTTATTCACAGCAGCACAGGTCATCAGGTCACTAAGTCACGTTTCATCATGTACTCTAAAAACAACTGAGCATTTCTTCGTGTAACGAGTATCGACACCAAACGTACGGTCTCTGAAATCAAAGCACAGGTGTACGAACTAGGAAAGCACTGACAACAAAAACTCCGTAAAAAACTGACTGAGGCCTTCTCAACTCACATCATCTTCAGTGCCTATAGGTACTGAAGATGTTTCACGGCACGACACTACAGTGCGTTACGTGTATCGCGGTGCTGAGTTCCTATTGGAAACATCCACATACTCGAACGCTCTCAATGTTGGAGCGTACAAGTTTGTAGATGTTTCTATGTAAACTCAATACCGCGATACTAGTAGCGCACAGTAGTGCCGTGCCGTGAAACAGGGCCCTGCTCGGTCACCCGACCACTGCACTGGTGCCTCTGAATCGGCAACAGTGGATTCTATATCATACGAAGGATGGCCCTCCCGGCCGCACTGAGAGGAATCGCGAACTTCATAACCCATGCATATATGACCTCAAAAAGGATCATGCTGGGCCCTCTAAAAGGCAAATATAGCACAGCGTGCGCCGCAGCGAAGGCAGCCAGCATCTTCATCTCGCTGTTTGGGAGACGATATTTCACATCGTTGACCAGGCACTGGGTTTCTGGGTGAACGGACACAGAGTTGCGCCCATCCTGCAGCTCCGAAATCGTCGTGCCGCCACCGATCACCAAGGTGGCCGCCAGGTCGTCATCTACCAAGATTGAAAGATAAAAAGAACTATTAACCACTGTAATCTTTAAGTTAAGAACGACTTTGTATGTCAGGCCGTCCATCTGTCCGTCCATCAGCCCATCCATGTAAATTGAAGGATGTAAAGAAATATTAAGCACTGTGATCTTCAAGAAAATAGCAATTTTGAATGTCGATCCTTAAAAATTGACAGATGAATCTATTAACCCGCGCACCGAAGGGGTTCTGAGCCAACTTAGAACCGACGAGAGGGTGGATGACCGCCCCCCAAAGATCTCAAGAACTAAGTAACCTCGCGAGAAGCGGCAAACGACATTCGAAAGCTCGTAAGAAGGTCTATGAAAAAAGTACTTCGGTCATTTTTCGCTAGGGTTCAAAATGACGTCATCAGAGGTCATCGAAGGTCAAATTATGCGAGTAACTGTAAAAAGACCGACAACATTCAACAAACGACTCCGTAGCTCATGAACAAAAGAGATAAAAAGTCGTATAAAAAAGAATCTGATGCAAATAAGAATGACTTGAAATTTATTCCATTGACTTACAATGGGCAGGTAAAAAATGACCTATTCGTAGGTCATCGATATGGAATTCTGAGATATGCAAGTTGTAGGTGCTCATCACCAAAATTATTTCTGTGAGTTTCAAGATCTGCTTTCAACAACGAGATAGAAAACTTCGAAGATTGTGTTTCGAGGTGAGGTCACTTAACGTGGCCTGGTGACCTGACTTTTTTAAGATATCCCGGCAGTTGCTGGGGTATTTCGCCACCCACCGTTTGCTGGGGGGGGGGGGGGCGTTAAACGCCCCCAGCCGATAACTCGAGAACCAATAGGCGCAGCGAAACGCACGAGGCGGCAAACGAAAGAACGCGACGAGACGCTTCAGATGAGTACTTTAAAGTTGAATTTTGAGGTCACAGGTCGGGTCAAGGTCAGGTCAAACACCTGAAATCGGGCTTTCAGTAGCATGGATTTCAGGACTTCGCAATGGGCGCCTCTCGTCATAAACTCTGTCAAAACGGTGCACAATCCATCATATAAGGCCTAAAAGAGTGTCAGCTCCATGTAGGGATCAATCAAGCATAGGTCAGGGTCAAGGTCAGGTCAACCGGGTAGGCACATATCCCCGAAAATCAAAACTGATATTCGCAGCCTGTGACACATGTTTTATGGGTAATTTGGGGCGTAGAACACGATGGTGACATTCATTTTAGCATATGTGTACGTGTTTGGCTCAAAAAGTTCAATTTAAGAAATGCATATATCATGGTCGTGAAGTAGTCACGAGAAATTGCCAAGATTCAGTTCAAGATTTTGGAAAATGTGAAACGATAATCAATAATCGAAGATGGCCATGTGATTGTGCATGGTATTGGCAGTCTAATGGCGTTTACGGCATGTCTATATGTCTATTCTGTGATTTTATATGATTTTTTGAACATATGCCGTTTTTGGTCGAAAACTCAGAAATCATGACGTCACTAAAACCTCGATATCTCAAAAATTTTCCGATCGATTTTTTTTTGAAACTTTGGCAGAATAAACTTCAATCAATTCCCTACAGGTAGCCAAAATTTGGCGCGCCTGCGGCGCGCCGTTTTTATGCTATGGCCCGGCGAAAAAAGTGGGGGCGTTTAACGCCCCCCCCCCCCAGCAACTCGCGGGATATGAGCTAAAAATTTCCAGAGGGTGTGCGAAATGGATGTATCAACAGTCGTGCCAAATCTGGCGGCGCTATGCGCCGCGGTTTTTATGCTATCTGACAAAACCTGAAGGGGGCTCCCCCGTCGGTGCGTGGGTTAAGTATTGTAATCATAAGGCAAAGAACGATATTGTATGTCTGTCCGTGAAAACTGAAATATATAACTAGTAAGCACTGTAACATTTAAGTACAGAACGATATTGTATGTCACGGACGGACGGACCGACAGACGAGACAGACGAAACAGACAAATGTAAAATATTGGGGGGACACGTCCCCGTCCCTCCCCCTCCCCCCGTTGGCGGAGCCCATGGATGAGACAGGCGAGACGGACGGACGGACGGACGGACGGACAGACGGACGGACGGACAGACGGACAGACGGACGGACGGACAGACGGACGGACGGACAGACGGACAGACGGACAGACGGACAATTGTCGTCGGTTATCATTAATGGTAGTTTAAAACTCACCTTCAACGGCTGTGGCGCCTTCCGGAGGCAGGAGTTGTGCGGTGTAGCACGCCTGTCGCGTCATTGAGGTGACTTTGTCCTAATGCCATTCTCGCCGGCGTGACCCACGACGAGAGCCAGGTCACCCCAAACCTGAAAGTAATACACAAAATAAATTAGCAACTTTTTAAGGCCAAGATTCTAGTACTTTTGTAAAACGTAGAGGAATAAAATTACTAAACATACCTAAACATATATTGATCAATCGACACATTGAACATTTGATGAAGTTACAGTTAACAACCTCAGTAGGTACTTAACTGATTTCTCAATTTGCCCTTGAGAACAAACTGAGAGGGTCAATTTGAGCTTCTGGAATCACTAATCAGAATGCCACGTAGGTATTGACACAAACAGCTAAGCGAGTGACGTGCATACAGACAGCAGCAAATCAATTTCATCAACTGCTACATCGAAACATTATCAAGTCAACTTACCCTCAAAGTTATTCGGAAATGGGTCCAGCACTAGTCAGTCATCACCACACCGAACGCACCAGCACACTTGCACCTATCTCACTGTTTCAACCGCCAGAAGATCACTTGCAAGCGCCAGAAGTCTCCGTGGCTCCGGAGCAGACACAAAAATGAAAATGGCGGAAACGGAAGGCTCGCGAGCCGCACGTGGACGCCATCGTAAAATAATGAGCATATGGGCGCAGAACTATCATGTCTAGGGTATTTTAATTCCTTGTCATAAAATAACACCATCCTCATCGAAACACACTTTACCAAGGATGCATATTTACACCATGATGAGGGTTGAATTATCAGCTGACAAATCAGAGTGCAAATTTATGCTATCAGATGGGTATTCTTATCCCACTTGAAGAAAATACACTATAGTAGTAATTTTACCATCCATCAATTAGAGGGGTAAACATCTCAAAAGTTAGAATTGCACCATGAGTGTTAAACTGGATTGAATTAAACCCCAAGAATACGCTCGTGATAGAGTACATTCGCACCGGAGCATTATTTTATTCCCCATATACGTCGAACAAGGGTATAAATATTCTTGATTTCGGTGTAATGGCGGTGTATAATAATCACATTCAAATTACCAAGGTGTACTTTTCTTTCAGTGAGGGAGTTCGCAGTTATCCTGAAGAGTCTTGTTCATCCGCGGATCCCCGCCCGTTTATCCGCGAATATACTAGACTTGATGTTCATCCGCGGAGCCACTAGGGACTTCGCGGATACCCTAGGAAATCCGCGGATCCACAGATTTCGCAAACTCACTCTAACATATATAATCAACGGGGTGCATTCGATCCAGGTCTGACAGCTGGGTCGTTTTGACAGCTGACAGCACTTTGACTGGCATTAGGGACATTCAGACCACATCCAACCTATTGGTCACTGGAACATTTTCTAGCTGAGACAAAAGCAACTTTCGATAGGAAAAATGTGTAGGTGTCGAGGGAATACCAGTGATACAATTTACTACAGTTTTATTTAGCTATCCAGTGCTCGTATTAGAATGAGACGCACATAAATATACCCAATGGAGGACCTTGGATAGAGTCCAAAGGAAATTAGCCACTCGCCACTCATCTCACTCACTAGGTGAGTGAGTGAGTGAGTGAGTGAGTGAGTGAGTGAGTGAGTGAGTGAGTGAGTGAGTGAGTGAGTGAGGTACTATAGAAACCCCGGCTGTCCGGCTTTACCAGCAGTACAACGGTGGCAGTGCGACAGCGCTCACTGCGGCCGCGAAGAGAGCGGCAGCGCCGTCTGGCCCAACAAGAGGACTGGGTCGCCACCTATCGGGCCAGACGCATCGGTGATCGACGCCACCGTCGCAACGACCTACCAACGACGACTTGAGTCTTTACATCAGCACGTTTATTGCTTAATGTATAGATAACAACAGTTGTTAACCCTCGCCGGCACAGGCCATTTTGAGTCCGACGGCACAAGGGGGGGGGGGTGGTACGACCTCTCTCGCGTTTGGCCCCTGATGGAGCTAGAGCTTCGCGGAAAAAACGAGCGTGCTGCCCAGTGGCGCGGGAACCGGGGGGGCTAGGGGGGGCTGAGCCCCCCCAGCTTTTCGGCTGGGGGGGCTCGTAATGTATTTGAGCCCCCCCTCCAGCTGGAGGAATCGAAATCGGAAATCTACCAACATAATTTCATAGATTCATACATAGGCGTGGGAACCGGGGGAGGGGGCAGTGGGGGAAGCTTGCCCCCACAACTCTGCGGCCGTGGGGGCGGTGCCCCACAACGTTTCATGAGGCCAGGAACCGTCGGGCAGCTTGTCCTCCCCAAATTAGGGGTTGTGGGTCACAAAGGAAGAAAGCATGTAAGTGAAAAATCCACCTATTTCACTGGCTCGGCAACTCATTTGGCAGATTAAAACCTTTACTCCAGGTTGCCAAAACGGTAGTTTCTTCACTCAGCTGAGACGGAATACCTCACTTTTTGAAAATATTTTCGTTTTTTTTTTGTTGTTGAAAAGGCCAAGGTCTGAAAAATAAGTGGCCTAAAACCGGTGAGAAAACTAGATTTGGGGGTACCCTAGGTTGATTTCTATTATGGTTCAGCCCCCCCAGTCTGGAAGAAGTTCCCGCGCCACTGGTGCTGCCCGTCACGAGAGGAAGCCAATGATACCCAATTTTAAGGTCCTAGGTCATCGGTTGACCTTCCAGGTCAGGTCAATGACCCAAAAATCGGAAATGGAAATGGTCGGAAATCCAGCCGACCTATGGTAGCTACGTTCATATTTTGACACAAGGTGTCAAATTGGTGCAGCCGAAGGATACTGAAAGTTTGGCGTCGATACGTCGAGCGGTTTGGAAGTTATTGCAGAAAGACGGGAGGGGGGCTATGAATAGCCCCCCCCCCCCAGTGGGGCCCGGATAAATGCACGAGAAAGGGTCTACAGTGTAAACATCCTTCACAAGTGCACCACGCATGGTTCGCAAACATTTACCATGTTAAATATCAAGAACTCGGCGCCCAAAAGAGTTGTGGAAACTTAACCCGCTTATGACTTGGGTTTATTCCATAATTCACTAGTGACTGTGGGGGCTCTACAAGTACCTACTGAGCCCCACCCCCTCCTATCTCCGAAAGTTCTGGCCCGGTTGGAAAAATACAAACGGTGTTGGCTAGCCCGAAAACTGTTGAGTGAAACCTTATTTCATTGACTTTTAGGCCACTGATGAGGTCACAAGGCAGTTGAAAGTGAAAATTATCAACATTTAGGCATGACCTTCCTTTGGATTCTGGCCGGCTGGAAGCTACATCAATTCATAATTGGTTTACCTACACACTTGCAAATGTTGAAGATACCCTGTGGGACGTAAGTACCAAGCATGTACTCCGTATTTTTTCAGGTCAGAGTAAGGTCAGCCCAGGTCACAAATGGTCAAGGAAATTTATGGCTTATATAACTAGGTGAGATAACTTGGCCATTTTTGGGGAGGTATGCCCGCGGCAGCGATTTAGGGTAGTAGAGCCTTACATTACAAGCTGCAAAGACCACTGCGTTCACAGACACCGCTGCGAATAGCAACATTGGACGATCTAAAATGTGTCGGTCGATTGAAGTACAATTGCATGACCGGGGCTGCACTGTCTCGTCAAAGCTATACTGCATAGCTAGTGTTAGGTGTTCATGGTCTGTTCTAAAGTTGACGCATTGTTCAGATCAGTGTTAAAACCCTGCCGGGTTAACCCGCGCCCCGTAGGGCTATCGGCGGACCCTACCACCCGTAGGGGGAGGGGGGGCGTTTCGGCACCCCTAAGATCTCGGAAATTTACCGGCCGATTTTCAAAATTCAAAAGGCATTCGATAGCCCCACCAGGGAACTACCTTGTGACCAAATTTCATTGACCTAGGTCAAACCGATGACGTCACAGGTCAGGTCAAAGGTCGGATTTTCACCGTTCACAGGCATTTCAAGAAATGTGTTGTGAAATCGAGAAAATTGGTAAGTTATTGAAAACTATCGATGGTACATTGTTCGCCAAACACATACTTTGCTATCTGAGGTCACTAATACCAGGTCAGGTCACAGAGGTCAGGTCACTGGAGGTCACCTGGGGGTCACAATATGGAAGTGTCGTGTGATGCATGTTTTATGGTCCATTTTACACGACAAATGCGATTATGTGGGTCAGACAGCCTTTGGGGCCAGCTTAGGTCACGTTTTGGTGAAGGTCAGGTCAAGGTCAGGTCAAATTAGGTTAAATTTCAAAGTTGATATTTTTGCATAAAATGGGTATCGATTCGATGCAGCTCGTCACGGGGAGTCTAATGGTGGTCTTTGTTTTGCTCTACGTGGTCTAGAATTGCCAAAAATTAAGTTTGAAAATTTGACGTCATCATTTTTGAACAGTTTTTTCGCTATAACTTGACCAAAAAACAAGATATTGATCTGAAATTTGGTATTTAGATAGAAGACGGTAGGTACTATCACATATACTCCGTTTTTTTCGAAACTCAAAAAACTTTTTGGATTTTACGGCAAATATAGGTATCCAAAAATTTCTTTTTTGATTTTTGGGGGTCAAAAGTCAAAATTTTTTAAAATCCCAGATAGCAGTTTTGTAGCCCTGTCAATTCTACATCTTTTATGTTCTAATCATTTTTCTGTAGCTTCAAAGCTGTAGGCCTGACAGCTCTTCTCGCGAAGGCCTTTTTTCGGTCGAAAATGGCAGAACATGACGTCATTCTGACGTCATTTGTGGCCAACCTATCATAGCCTCTGGAAAAAATTTTGGTCACAATGTGTAAAATTGATGCCCGGAGGGGTCCTGAAAGAGTGGTGGCGATATCTCTAGCCGTTTAGGAGATATCGACGGAAAAGGACAGGGGGGCCGTTTCGGCTCCCCTACGGGGCGCGGGTTTTAAAGGTTTGATGATACTTGGAGTCTGTATGGTTTGTTGCTCGCAGATTTAACCCTTGCCCGTATTGGCGTTTTTCCAACCGCGAACGTATAAGAGGGGGGTCCGTTGAACCCCCACTTGCCGTTTCGCCCCTGATCGAGCTAGAGCTTCGCGGAAAAAAAACGAGCGTGTTGCCCGTCACGAGAGGAAGCCGATGATACCCAATTTTAAGGTTCTAGGTCATCGGGTGACGTGACCTTCCAGGTCAGGTCAATGGCCCCAGTAAACATGCCGACGTCGGCCCAACGTCGGTTCAACCTCGGCCCGACATCGGCTGCAGACGTCGGATATGCCCGCATGTTCCGACGTCCAGCCGAAGTCCAGCCGACGTCGAGCCGACGTCGGGCCGAGGTCGTTTGCCGAGGTTGACGAGATCGTTTGTCGTTGGACCGACGGGGCCGACGTCGGCATGTTTATTGGGACAACGCGCCAAAAATATCAACCGGCGGCGGGATTCGAGCCCCCTAGTCGCCGACGTCGGCATGTTTACTGGGACAACACGCCAAAAGCATCAGCCGGCGATGGGATTCGAACCCGTGCCATTTGACCGCGAGGTTAGTGCGCTAACCACTACACCACGCAGCCATAAAAATATTATTTGTTTTGTTGGGTTGGGTTATGCCCTTTCGGTCTGACAAGACCATTTCAGAGCCGGAAGGATGATAGGATGGAGACATTGGTTTTGGCGAGCACCCTGGGTCCAGTTCAATAGAGTCCCTGGTCCCATTGCTGTTACGTGACACTTATTGGAAAGGGCGACCCCACAATGGATTCATATACCTAGCCATCTTATCTTACACACCTGCACCAACGTTTCCCAAAGTGTCCCTTTGATAAGTGGCACTTTGGCAAAGTGACACTTGCCGACTGGCCTTTCTATATGAACTGGGCCCGGCCCTGGTGAGTTGCCGGGGCTGAGCCTGACCAAAGGATAGGCCGAGCAGCCCCCAAGCACTCACCGCACCCGGCTACGGGCGAGCTCGGCTTACGGGCAATCCCAAATGGGATAAAGTTTCCCGTCCAGTCCGGATCAGGTCACCGTTCCCTGCTTCTATCCTCAGGATACTGAAATCCATCTCCTCCACACCGCAACCCCCTCCGGGCTGGACAGGCAACTTTATCTCATGCGGGCTGCTCCCTTGGAGCGGCACCGCTGCTCCCGAGGGAGCGCACCCCGTAGCCGGGTGCAGTGAGTGCCTTGGGGCTGGGTGGGGCCTGT